ATACAATTGAAAGCCTTTGCATGGTCAATAAAGCACAGGTAAACACCTTTCTGATATTCTCTGCTTTCAGCCAGAAACCAAATGAAATTTTCCCCACCCAACAGATGACAACAATGGTGCCCATACAGCCCAGCCACAAACATACCTCTGCAGCTCCACTCACTGGGTAAGAACTAACACCAGCTCCTATACCACTTGATCAATAATAGAAGCAGCCAACACCATCTAGAACCACCATAAACTGAGGTGCACAAAGAGCAAACAAGAACGGTGTACATGCTTCCATTCTTTAACTACACCCATAGGATACTGTTGGTGAGAGCCTAAGAACACACCAACACATAATCATCAATTAAATGCAAATTCAACAACCTTACAGTGTACCAGAGACAAGAATTTTAGCTTACAAGAATAAATAAGAGAGAATGGCTCAAGTGAATTACCAAGATGTAGAGCCAGAAAATGTTTCTGAGAAAGAAAGGGTAATGGAACTATCTGAAAAAGAATTCAAAAGAATGATATTTAGGTATGTTATGAAGATTGACAGAAAGATTAAGGAAAGCAAGGAGAACACAGAAAAATTTTTTAAAGAATTCAAGAAAACACTATAAAAACAACCAGACAAAACAAATACAAATTTTGAAACACTATAAAACCTCCAACTCAAAATACAGAATATTAATACTAAAATTCCAGAAATGGATGATACACTGAAGGGCAAAGGAGTAGATTAGAAGCAATACAAATCCAAATTAATGAACATGAAGATAAATCTCTCAATACTAGTATGCTAGAAGAACAGTCAGAAAAAAGAATGAAACAATCAGAAGAAAGTCTATGAGTTACATGGGACACCATGAAGAGGAACAACTTATGGGTGGTTGGAATTCCAGAACAGGAAGAGGCAATAAAAAGCACAAAGAAAATTATCAAAGAGTTGTTGAAAGAAAACTTCCCTAACATCAAGAAAGACAAGAAGATAAGCATACGATGGGAAATTCCCACTTGAAAGGACAAGAAGACCAACCTGGAGTGGCTAGAAGAACAGAAGTCTAGGAG